TGTGTGTGTGTGTGTGGGGGGGGGGGGGGGGGCACTCTGCCATGAGGAAGTTCAGCTTAAAGACACGTCCCATGGGTGTTTCTGGTCCCCACCTGTCATTTTGCTCCTCAAAAACACTGCAGGATTTCTCAAACATGCATGTATGCAAGGCTTTGGGCATGTTTTTTATGAGAGTATAACACTATAACATGATATAAAACTAAAAAAAGTTGATTTTACGTGATATTGCCCCTTTAAGAATAAGACACAGATGGTGGTTAGTTAGGTCTGTTAGATTCTTGTAGGTTTATTTTGACCACTTGAAATGGAGTGGAAACACATTGAGTATTTCAGATGTAGATTTACTACTGATGAAATCCTCATTTTACTGGCTGAGGTACACGGACTTGTTCTAAGCAAAAGGACATTGGAAAAAATTAAGAAGAAACTTTGATGTCGAAAGAACAAAACAGATGAAGCGGAGGTGACAGCTTTTATCCAACAGCAACTTGAAACTTCAGTGTCATGGACATAGATGGATGCATCAAAAACGTTGGATAAATGGCATCGTGACAGACAGGGAAACAGTTTGAGTTCTTTTATGTCTACTGGATCATGAAGGAGTAGAACCTAAGATCAAGAAATTGACTGAGGAGGAGAATTTATCATAGCCATGGTCCCAAATATGTTTGGCATATTCATGGTTATAATAAGCTGAAGTCTTTTATAAGTGGGTGTATTGATGGCTTTTCCAGAAGCCTCATATGGCTTGAAGCCTGTAAGACAAATAATGATCCAAGAGTCATTGCTGGCTACTTCACAGCTGTAGTGATCAAAGCTGAGGGCTGCCCTGAATGACCGAGAATGGATTTTGGAACTGAAAATGTTCAYGTTGCTGATATGCAAAGATTTTTGTATTATTCTGAAAATCTTCCAGAAACAGACCATGTAACACTTGAACCAAGCACTGGTAATCAGCAAATTGAAAGATGGTGGCTGATTCTGCAAAGCCAGTGTGTCCAGTTGTGGATTGACCTCTTTGGCAAACTAAGTGAGGAATCTTTAGTCACTTCTCTACATGTTTGTTTTTATTCTATCAATAACGTGTTTTCTTTGTCTCTCTTCCAGAGGACAATAAACCTGGACCAGTTCTTCTGTGTTTATCTTTGTCTCTTTCCTGTCCTCCAACCAGCCGGTCGAGGCAGATGGCCGCCTGTCCTGAGCCTGGTTCTGCTGGAGGTTTCTTCCTGATTAGCAGGGAGTTTTTCCTCTCCACCGTTTGCTCAGGATGGGAGACTGTGATGAAGTGAAGATTCTGCACTGTCTGCTGGCTTCTTTAGATTTATTTTGTGTACAGTGCCCTGCGATAACAGTTGTTGTGATTTGGTGTTATATAAATAAACTGAGTTGAATCAATGCGTCCAACCTCTCCATAGATGTTAGCAGTCCGTGTGCACGGATACGTTAATATGGACCAGACTCTCTGAGGAATGTTTTCAGTACCTTGTTGAATATACAGTATGCCACTAAGGATTAGGACAGCTCTGAAGGTACAGTGGGGAGAACAAGTATTTGATACACTGTTAATTTTTCAGGTTTTCCCACTTGCAAAGCTTGTAGAAGACTGTAATTTTTATCATAGGTACACTTCAACTGTGAGTGATTGAATCTAAAACAAAAATTAGTTAGTTCTTCTTTAAGAAGCCCTCCTGTTCTCCACTCATTACCTGTATTAACTG